CCAACTTCTGGTTGCTCAGCTGACCAAGAAGGCACATCTAGATAGAGGGAGCCACATCAGAAGGGGACCAGCAGGGCTGTGCCACCCCTTAGACCTCGACCGCTAGCATGGACAGTAGCAGACTCTCGGATGGCTGGGGATGGGAACCTCCAGCGTTTAAGACCAGTCCCACATAGGAAAAGAGCACCTCAGCCCTCTCAGACCTCACCCCTCTCCCAAACACTGTACTCTTCTCCACTGAAAGAAGAAAGTGATTTGAACAAAGTAATGTGGAAAAGGACAGTATGCCCTCCCATTATTTATCCTGTGACAATGACCCCTAATGAGAATGACCTGGAAGAACTTCTAGGCAAAGAATTTTTTAAAAAATGATTGTAACAATATTAATTGTCTTTTGGCTCCTGGTTAGAAAATGTGGCGTCATCCTTTAAAAGTAGGGCTTTCCCGACACTGAAGACATCTTTTGTTTTATTCTTTCGTTTGCCTCATCTCTGGGCAGCAGCGTAAAAGCACAGCCCATTGCTGACATTCACATTAACGTTGGCCAGAGGGAAGTGTGAACAATGCCTGGTGCTGGCAGGCACGAACACACGACAGCGATGAGAGAAACGTGAACAAATCATTCTGCCCGTGACTCAGAAATTCTGCTGCCCCAAATGAATCATCTGTGACAGCCAAACAAATCTTACTGCAAAGCACATCATTCCAAACAGGGGCACAGCTGACGTTCTGTAACAGCTCTTTTTCTCTCATTTATAGCTCCAAACAGGTGAGTTTTAGAACATGTAATTGTGTTGTTGGAGTCAGCAGAGGCTGGCTTCAGGCCAGGGCTTAGAATAGCTGACGTAACTGTCTGGCAGGTGGAGAGACTGCTTCTGTGGGCCTCCTGGCTCAGCCTTTTCCTGGTGGCTCAGATTTGGATCGGCCCCAGAGTCCATCATTGCCTCGGTTTGTGTAGGTGTTTTTCCCTCCCCATGCTAGAGATGGGTTTTGGTAAGGCAGACCTACTGTCTCTACACCTCCGAATCATCTGTACCTCGGCTCTGTGTTTTCTTAACAACCAAATCAAACAAACCAAAACATTTTTTTTTCCTCCAAGCTCTCTAGCACAGGTTGGCTCAAAGGTCACTGCTCTCGGTACCATGTAAAGAAAGGATTCATGCCTGAACCCATGCTGTCTGCTGCTCTCCTTCTGGCAAGGCTCACGGCCTCTGGGAACTTAGAGAATTAGTATCAGAGCTCTGGCCAGGGAACTGAGGGCTGAAGTTCCCATTGTGATTCTGTCACTAATGGGCCAAGAGCCTGTGTCAGGCAGGGGCTGGTGGGATAGCTCAGTGAACATGCACACAGTACATACATGTGTAAGCATGCGGACCCAAGTTCAGACGGCCAGAATGCATATAAAATCTGGATGCCGTAAGAAATGTCTGTATTCCCAGTGTTGCGGGGATACGCAGGGGCATCCCTGGGGCTCACAGACTGTCCAGCTCTGGGCGGTGAGCCCTGGGTTCAGTAAGCACCTTGTAGGGAGCAATAGAGTAAGGGCACCTGACAACAGTCTCTGGCCTCCACTCATACACACAGCAGGTACATTACACGTATACAAAACATACATGTATATCTTGTGTTTGTGTGTCCTGGTTTCCCCATCTATGCTATGCTAGGATTCCAGAGGATCAGAGGCTGTCAAAACTTTCTATAGGGGATGTTTCAAAGTGTATACAAAATCTTGAGTTAAATTTCATAAAAATTGTTTGTTTGTTTGTTTTTACTTAAAAAAAAAGTATCTGGGTTGAGAAGATGGCCTGCCTTGGAACCATGAGGACATACATTAGGTCCCAGAACTCACATGGAAACGTTAGGTATGGTGGCTTACACTTGTAATTCCAACACTGGAAAGGCTGGCCAGATTCCTGGGGTTTGCCATGCAGCCAGCCTAACGAGAGACCCTATCTCAAAGAAGGTGTCAGTGTTTCTGAGAATGACTCCCAAGGCTGTCCTCCCGCCTCCACCCACATGCACGCACACGAAAAGATCAATTGTATCATCCTATTGTAATAAGATAAGAGCAGCCAGTTTGTATTCTAATTTTAACTCAGGATATTGGAGCACATTCCTTTGACTTTCTCATGAACACCTTTTGTGGTCTTGTGATAAGCCTTGCTGGACAGATCCAGGCAGGCATTTCTTCAAAGGAAATAGAAATGAGTTCCTACTTAAATGATGTGTTTGGATAACCCATGAACATTACTGGTTATCTCTCTCCTCTTTGCCAGCCATCTGGTCACGAGTTGGGAAAGATATCTTTCATTTACCACTGCCATATCCTTCATTTACCACTGCCTGGACTAATGCTAGGTCCCAGCTCCTGACAGCATGGGTGGGCTGGCTTTTTAGGAGCTGCCAGAGAGGGCAATCCTGGCTCAGGACCAGAAGTCGCAGCACATCTTCCCAGAACAGCAAGGCCTTCCATGGGCTGGCAACACGTTGAACCGTGAAGTTGGGCTGCCTCTTCACCCACTTGGCTTAAGTAGAATTGATAAACCCTCCCTGGCAGCTGGCTGAATTTGCCTTCTTGGATTTGCACTGGAACTTGAGTGTGGGGCTGGAAACATCAGACTTAGCCTGAATGCGAGTCACCTGATCCATTCCTGTCTCTTCTAGACCCTTTGTTGGTCAAGAGCTGAGCTGTTAATCCTGTGGGAACTTTCGTTTGTTGGTGAAAGAGAAGTAGGCACCCTTTACTCTCCAAATCTCAGAGGATCAAGAGGTCAACTGGATCTGACTCAGATAAGAATATTGTATAATTTGTGGCTTCAAAGAGGTCTTGGGACTCAGAAGTGAAAACAGTGGACCTGCAGGCTGTTATCTGCCAATTCAATTTTTACACCACAGGCAAATATTATTTCTAAACTTTAATTTATTATTTATCTTGTTGCTTGTTCTCTGTGTCCCCTTAAACTTTGCACCTGAAATGACTTTCTTCTTTTTTTCACTTTTAAAAAAATGTATTTATATTTTTATAAATTACAGTTTATTCACTTTGTATCCCCACTGTAGCCCCCTCCCACATCCCCTCCCAACCCCATTCTCCCTTCCTCATCCCCTCCGATGCCCCTCCCCAAGTCCACTGATACGGAAGGTCCTCCTCCCTTCCCTCTGACCCTAGCCTATCAAGGCTCATCAGGACTGGCTGCATTATTTTCCTCTGTGGCCTGGTAAGGCTGCACCCCCCTCAGGGGGAGGTGATCAAAGAGCCAGTCACTGAGTTCATGTCAGAGACAATTCCTGTTTAGGAACCCACTTGGACACTGAGCTGCCCTGGGGTACATCTGTGCAGGGATTGTAAGATATCTTCATGCATGGTCCTTGTTTAGAGTATCTGTCTCAGAAAAGACCCTTGTACCCAGAATTTTTTTTCATCTGTTGCTCTCCTTGTGGAGCTCCTGTACCCTCCAGGTCTTCCTATCTCCCCTGTCTTTCATAAGATTCCTTGCACTCTGCCCACAGTTCGGCTATGAGTCTCAGCATCTCCTTCAATACCTTGCTGGGTAGAGTCTTTCAATGGCCCTCTGTGGTAGGATCCTGTCCTGTTGCCTGTTTTCCCCCTCTTCCGATGTCCATCCCATTTGCCTTTCTGCATGAGGATTGATCATTTACCCAGGGTCTGCCTCCTTGCTTATCTTCTTTAGGTGTACAGATTTTAGTATATTTGTCCTATATATTATATGTCTAATATCCACTTATAAGTGAGTATATACCATGTGTGTCTTTCTGCTTTTGGGATACCTCACTCAGGATGATCTTTTCTAGTTCCCACCATTTGCCTGCAAATTTCATGATGTCCTTGTTTTTTGTTGCTGAGTATTCCATTGTGTAAATGTACCACAATTTCTGTATCCATTCCTCCACTGAGGGACATCTGGGTTGTTTCCAGATTCTGGCTATAACAAATAAAGCTGCTACAAACATGGTTGAACAAATGTCCTTGTTGTGCACTTGAGTATGTTTTGGATATATGCCTAGGAGTAGTATAGCTGGATCTTGAGGTAGCATTATTCCTAATTGTCTGAGAAAGCGCCAGATTGATTTCCATAGTGGTTGTAGAAGTTTACATTCCCACCAGCAGTGGAGGAGGGTTCCCCTTTCTCCACATCCTCTCCAGCATGTGTTGTCACTTGAGTTTTTGATTGTAGCCATTCTGATGGGTGTAAGGTGAAATATGAGTGCCTTTCTTGATCCCCATTTGGTCTCAGCAATGAGACACTTTTTTTAAAAAGATATATTTTAAATTTATTTTTTGAGAATTTGTTTTCTCTCCTTCAACTCCTTCTAGAGTCTACCCCTCAACAAATTTCCCTCCCATCTTTATCTCTCCCCGTTCTTCTCCTCTTCCTTCTTTTCTTCTAACCTACTGAGTCCCATTACTGCAATCTGCATGCACACAGGTATAGGACTATCCACTAAAGCATAAGCGACCAAACAGGCCTGAAGAAAACTGACTCTCCCTTACCCCAGCAGCCTACAACTGCCGGGGACTCTCAGGTGGGTGGACAAGCTTATATGTATGGAAACCAGAGGACAATGTTGGCAAGTTGGTTCTCTCCTTCCACTGGGTGTTCCCGGGATCAGACTCAGGTGGGCAGGCTTGTATGATGAATACCTTTACCCGTGGGGCTGTCTTGAATGCCTGCAGATAATGACTTTAATTTTTTTGAACGTTCATGCAGAGCACTTGCTGTTTCCTCTGAATGAATGAAAACTTGGGATAGACCCTGGATCCCAGCAGGCCGTTAGGGATGGGTGTGACAAGATTCCTCAGTGCTGGGCCTTCTACCCTGAGGGACCTGTTTCTGGAAATGCCTCCCACCCCCAAATCCAGCCTATTCGCATTTGGCCACAGATCTGTGGCTACTCCTAGCCGTGTGGCTAGATTCACTGCACAGCTGATTAAATATTTGAGCAACTCATTTTATAATGTGACTTCGCTAAGTGCTTACCTGCCTCGCGCACCAAAGCCACCGGTGATTAGACAGCTCAGAAAAAGCCCCAGAATGCAAAGACACATCCATCTCAGCTCGAAATAGAAAACTCAGCAACACTCTCCGGAAGGTTGTAAATAGAGCCGTCGGGCTGTGTGGCCTTCGTCATGACTCAGCTAGAGACAAGGCCGTGTCACAGGGGCGCCTCATCGACAGCTCAAATGTTCCCATTGACATGCAGTCATAAAGGATCAGTTCCAAGGTGTGTTCTGGTGGAAACACTAAATGAAGGCAGCCAAGGTTGGGGCCATATTTATGTTAAGCTGCCAGAGAGCAATCACTTCCTTCTGAGTTCTATGTGGCTGCCTGACTTCCTCTGACGTCAGTGAGAGGCTGACCTCCTTCTGAACACATAAAAAAAAAATCTAATGAGTTGGAATTTTCCACTCATATGGAGCTTGTTCAGTTATAATGATTTTTTTTTTTTTTAACAAGCCGGTAACTTGCTTTTGTGGCTGAAGTTTACATCAAACGTCTGATTCTTCTCCCTCCACCTTCCCAGGGCTGGGATTACAGCTGTGCATCCTACCCTCAGTTGTGTGTGATACTGAGGGTCAGACCCCGGTTTTCACGTATGTTAGGTGAAAACTCTATTAAATGAACTACTGGAATGGAGCCACACAGCATAGAAAAATATCAGGGTTCGTTGTATGTTAAGAGTCAGGAAAAGCGTCGGTAACATTTGTTTTAGTTTGTTTTTCTTCTGTGTGTGTCTATGTTCAGACATAACCATGTGGGTGCTCATGCTTGTGTGTGTGTGTGTGTGTGTACAGGTCAGAGGTCAACATTAGGTGTCTTCCTCGATTATCCTTTGCTTTAATTGTGAAGAGAGTGCCTTTCATTGAACCTGGAGCTCACTAATTGGCTGGCCTGGCTGGCTAGGAAGCCCCTAGGCTCTGTCTCCTCCATCCCTCATCCCCCCCCTCCCGCCCCGCACTGGTATTATATGGTGCAGGCAGCTCTGTGTGTGGTTCCTGGGATCCACACTTAGCGGTCCAGGCCCTCACACTTGTGAGGTAAGACCTGTCCTCATCCCTGTTTTACTTTGGGGTAAGAAATGCATTATGGTGTGAATGTAGCTCTTATTGTGGAACACTAAACAAAACCGAAAGCCCAGGCTTGAGGACACTTGTGGTTTTAGGACAGCTTTACCGTTTTTTAGTGACGATTGAATGTTGTCAGGGCTCACTTTGGAGGGCAGGCTTGATGTTACTGGACACCAGCTCATTCTGACATTGTTGGAGGTTTTGTACTCCCTGTTTCAAGGTGAGCTGCACTACCCCCGAGTTAGCACCTAAAACTAAAGCTGTCGCTTGGCCGCTCTGTGTCACATCGCTAAAGGGTACCTCACTCTAGACCCAACATCTTTTCCTTACGCACTACTACAGAAAGAGACAGAGGCGTGCGGCCTCATGTTTCCCAGCTGTAAACGACAGGTGACAAGAGAAACAACCTGCTGGCCTCTGAAAGGAGAGCCAGCCATGTCTTGAAGAGCAGGGCTTCCTGAGCTTTTTTGTCCATCCTACCTTTTCTCCTGAGAGGTTTTGACATGACCCTGGCTGTATGGGTCTACACAGTAAGGATGTAAGCCATTTGGTGATTATACATGATAGCGAGTTCCTTTCAAGTATTTCCTTGGTATAAGTACAATTTCACCATTTACTGAAGACAACAGAAAGGTGCGTAGTGATGGGTGGACGTGCTTGTTTGTGCGTTCATGAAGAACTACATCCTGACTGCATACCGGATGCTGTTGGACATAGAGCATCTTTGGTGCTTTTTGGAGTTGGCTGATATTTTGATTAGGTTTTTCTTTTTCTGTTTTTTTTTTCATGTGCATGTGCATCTGTGTATTTTGCATGTGTGTGGGTACATGTGTCTGGGTGTGTGTGCTCATGCATGTGGAAGCCGCAGGCTGATGCTTGGAATCGTCCTCCATCACTCTTCTACCTTATTTAGTGAGGCGATGGCCTCCCAACCAAACGTGGCTCTTCTGCAACAGTAGCACACGCTCATAGCTGCCAATCTACCTCTCCTTAATTAACCATGCTTTAGGAAACCTGAATCAACCCAAGCAGCATTAAAAAAAAGTCAACATTCTAACACAACACAACAAAGAGAGACTCATTTGATGCTGCTTGCCAGGAGTGTCGGGAATGAGTTAAATCTTTTTCTTTTTTTTTTTTCCTGTAATTACACTATTGTGTGCCTGTAAGAGCAGAAAATTTTGTGTTTGCAGTAAAAAACACTGCAATAGTCTCCAATCAAAAGCAAGGGGACCTAGACAGCACTTGCTGACAGGGTGTCTTGGGACAGAATGTGTAGTGCAAAGGCCCACGTTATGTTCTGAACCAAAGCTGCAGTGAAATGAGTGGGCAAAACAACTTGGGCTAGAGCTGCCTGCTGCCTAGGCTTTGTTCTTCATTTAATTTTGGAGTAAGTTTTGGCTATTGAGTATTCAGAAACCTTTTACTATTTTTAAATTTTTTGTGATCCCCACATTCACTTCCATGTGACAACCCAGCATTTAAGAAGCTCAGGGAAATGGATTAAGAAGCTTAAGGAAAATGGTTAAGTAGTTAAAAACAAAAACTGTTCTTCAAGAGGACCTGAATTCAGATCCCACTACCAATGAAGGGTGGCTCACAAGCACCTGTAACTTCAGCTTAAGGGAATTCTGGCGCCATCTTCTGGACTCCAGGAGTACTGCAGGAATGTGCACATACACACTGAAGGACATATAAACACATCTACATAATATACTTTAAAACTTTTTTAGGAAGCTGTGCTCTATATTGCAGGCATGGAGCTAATTCCACTGTACATAATATCGGAAGGCAACCTTCAACTCTATTCTCTGAAAAGGTAGTTCTATGTCTTAGAAAGTGACTCCTGTAGGTGTGTTTCTCTAGCTTATGCCACCTGGCTGCTCCCAGTGAGAGGAGTTGATAGGGAGGGACTGGGGAGTGGGAGAGGCCAAGACGTTTCTTCCCACCCTTCTGTCCCCAAGTTATTCTCACTTTGAATTGGCAAGTGGTTGGGTTGTACCTATGTGTGATAAATGAGCTGGCAAAGACAGCAGATAAGAAACCACTTCATACTCAAGATGTGAAAGAACCCTGGTACCCAGGGGTGGCTTCAGAGCCTGAGGATGTGAGGCTGTCTGGTTGCAGGCCAGGGTTATTTGTCTGTGATAAGATAAAATAGGAAGCGACCTTAATTAAATGACGATAACAGACCAAAATAAACAACACAGGGATATGGGGGAGAAGATGAGGAAGTTTACACTGTTCTCACGGATGGGCTGGGATTTATTTACAGGTGCTGTGTCTATGACCACCTTCGTGACATCAATCGAGGAATGATGACATTTCACGAAAAGCTCAACTCCTATCTGGCAGAGCGGTTCAGGATTGGTCAGCACTGCGTCTAGTTTTACCATCCAGTTCCTAATGCTGAAAACGTCGTGGGAGACCAGATTCCTAGTATAGTAAGTGATGGAGAATTAAAACTTCTTTCCAGACAAGAGCAATTGTTTAAGAGGCCATGGAATACATGCCCCACCCCACAATAGAGCAAGGCAGGAAAGTGCTAGGCAGCTTTGAAATAAACGAGTGGCTTCACTGTTAGGTTCCTTACTGATTTATTAGGGGTATGTGTGGATGCGTATTATTTGTGTGTTTGTGTGGGTGTACATTCCTGGCTGTGTGGAGACCAGAGGTCAAACTCAGATGTGGGATGTTGTCCTTCAAGACTGTCTACTTTTTTTTTTTTTTTTGAGGTAGAATATTTTATTGACCTGGAGATCACCAATTAAGCTAGCATGACTGGCAAGCAAGGCGCAGAGGTCGGCCTGCCATAACCCCCTTGGTGCTGGGATTGTAAGCACATCCCCACGCATAGCCCTCTACCTGCGTGGGTTCTAAGGAGCAGGCTCAGGTCCCTGTACTTGAATGGCAGCCATCCGAACTAGTGATTTTTCCCATCTCCTCATTGGCTTAAAAACCAGAATCTAATGATGATTGAATTTGAAATATTAAAATACAGTGAAATGCAATTCGATTCTTACATTTTATGCTCATCCTCATTTTAATGGTGTTTAGATTTACATGTGCCAAAAGCATCAGATTTGCTAAGCAGATACCAAGTCTTTGATGTATTTTTATATGGGTCAAATGCAGGCTGACATGGTTGTGTGTAGCCCAGGGTCTGTGGCCTGAGTTTTCACTGTATTAAACATCTGGCATAAACAAGAAAAAAAATGCAAACTTTTCCCAATTCATAGAAGTTATTGTTGGAAAGACTGTCTGGTTCGTAGGAAAGGAAATCTGAGATGAAACTACTCTTCATATGAACTGTATTAGTAGACAAAAAAAAAAAAATTTTTTTTCAGCCATGGGCAACATGGTTGTGCTTTGAAATCAGAGAACATTAGGAAATTGGCTTTGGCCCATAGGCAGCCATGATGTGACTTTCAATTCCAGAGGACAAAGTGGGTTTCTGATTCTTATAAGGCTTTCATGGGTAGCACATGGCCCCCGGCCTGGCCTGGCCTGGCCTACGTGTCAAGAGTCACAAGATAAAAGACCCAAGATGAACGCAGGGAGGTACTAGATACAAGTGAGGTTATAATTCAGTGTTGTCTTGAAGTTGCCTGCAGCTTCGTGGTGGGGTGGGGGTGTTAAAGGCTGAGTCGGTGTACTTTATCAACTCTCAGTCCCAGAGAAAACTGCAGAGGGTGAGCTTGGTTTCTGGGAAAAGAAGGAACGGGGGTGAGGGGATAGGGGAGAGGGGCATCTGGAGGGTTTGCCATTAACAGTTATATTCTTGGGAGACTGGCATATTCTGGGTTCACAAAGTTATACAAAGGGCTTCCCTCTGTATTCTAATTTCATGGGATATTTGAGCAAGTTGTGGTTGGATGAAAGTATCTTGCCTACTGAAGGCTGTTCAGCACCCCGAGTCTACCCAACAATTGTGCATTGTGCTCCCGACCTCACTGTGCTTGCTAGGACCCCACCCCCACCCCTGCCCAAGTTGCCAGTGTGCCCCTTTAAGATGCGCTCTCGGCTCACTGAGAGCCATTGCTTTAAGCAGTTGCTTTATCTAATCTGCCTGTTGCCCGGTTGCTGCAGGGAGAGCCTCTCTCCTCCACTCTTTCATGCTTGCAGGAGCCCCAGCGACCAAGCCAGTGTCTGTTTCCTTGT